AGAAGGATGAGGCTTTCTGCTCCTGTAAAGATTTACAGCCTTGGAAACCCTCTATAGGGGCTCTATGAGTGGGAACCTACTCCACTGCACATAATCACCACCACCATGCTAGCGTAAGGAGTCCTGGTGTGGCGCAATGGACTAATGCGTCAGACTGCAAAGGCTTTTGAACTGCAAGGTGGGTGGTTCAAGCTCACCAGCTTTTCCTTGGAAACCTTACACAGGGTCGCTATGGGTCGGAATCTACTCGACGGCACTTAACAACAACAAGTATAACTATCTTTGATTAAAAGTTGCTTTGATATTTTCAGAGACCAGGCAAGAAGCCTTGTCACAAAAGACAGCGCCACAGCCCTCAAAATTTCTTACCAAAGTTCTTTGCTTTGTTCTTAGAGACTCTTCCTTCTGAGCTCTGCATTTTAGAGGATGGAATTAGAGGATGAGGGACTCCTAGACAGCGTTCTCCAAGATGGAACAGACAGATCATCAGACATGCTTAATGGTGCAAGAGAGTGGATGCATATAAGATGTTGATGCACTGATTAGATATGCTGATAAAAGTGGTAGGAAGACATCAAACTATTCTTTTACCAACATAAGGTGTGACAATCACCTTATGTTTTTTGGTCTGTGCAGTCTCAAGAGGGGTGTGGCTCAATTCATTAAAGCAAGAGGCTGCCAGAGATGAATGCTCCTATATTGGGGCATAATCCGCCATTTTCTTCTTTTTGTTGAGTTTATTCTTCTTTCTCAAAGGGTGGTTACCTTAGACCGCCTGCATCAGAATTGCTGGATCTGCTTGTTAAAAATGAGAAACCTTGGACCAATCCCTTTTACTATTATTTGCTCAGCATACAGGTTGAGTAAGTATGGTGAAAGAAAACAACCCTGTCGCATACCTTTCTTAATTTTAAACTATTCAGTGTTCTCATGTTCTGTTCAAACAACTGCCTCTTGGTCCAGGTACAGATTCCTCATGAGCACAATGAAGTGTTCAGAAATACTCATACTTCACAATGTTGTCCATAACTTGTGATGATCTACATAATCAAAAGCCTTTGCGTAGTCAATGAAGCACAGGTAAACATCTTTCTGATATTCTCTGCTTTCAGTCAAGTTCCATCGGACTTCAGCAATGATATCCCTCATTCCACGGCCTCTTCTCAATCTGGCTTGAACCTCTGGAAGTTCTCTGTCAATGTATTCTTGCAGCCGTTTCTGTATTACCTTTAGAAACACTTTACTTGCATGGGATATCAGTGATTGTCCGTTGATTTCTGCATTCTGTTGGGTCACCTCTCTTTGGAATGGGCACAAATACAGATCTCTTCCAATCAGTTGGCCAGATAGTTGTCATCCAATGGCAGAGATAAGTGCCGCCTCACTGTCTTGAAAGATTTCAATTTGTATTCCATCAGTTCCTGATGCCTAGTTCTTTGCCAATTCCTTCAATGCATCTTGGACTTCCTCCTTTAGTATCATTGGCTCTTGATCATATGCTACCTCTTGAAATGGTTGAACAATGACCATTTCCTTTTGACATAGTGAGTCTGTGTATTCCTTCCATCTTTTCTTGATGCTTTCTGCATTATTCAATAATGAAAGTCAAGGCTTGAATTTTTTCTTCAGTTCCTCCAGCTTGAGAAATGTTGAGCAAGTTCTTCCTTTTTGGTTTTCTAACTCCAGATCTTTGCACATTTTGTTCTAATAGTTTACTTTATCTTCTCGAGCTGATCTTTGAGATTTTCTGTTCAGCCCTTGTACCTCATTTCTTCTATTTGCTTTAGCATCTCTACTATGCTGGAGAACATGATTCAGTGTCTCTTCTGACATCCATTTTGACCTTTTCCTTCTTGTCTTCTTAATGACTTTTTGCTTTCTTCATGTATGATGTCATCCCACACTCTTCTGGTCTTTAGTGTTTAGTGTATCAACTCTGTTCTTCAAATGATCTCTAAATTCAGGTGGGATATATTCAAGGTC